AAAAAAACGGAGGTAAAAAAGAAAACGGTAATCTGGTTGCCGAGTTCACGAAGTGAATTGGCTTGTTTTACAACGTCGTTGCCAAGCGACGAAACCCAATCCCGATGGCAAACACCGGGGGGGGCGGCTTGTCTTACAACGTCGTTGCCAAGCGACGAAAACCCAACCCCGATGGCAAACACCGGGGGGGGCAATCGTGGGGGGTGGGGCGGTTGTTTAGTATTCAAATATACCTACCCCAATGTGAAAACAACAACAACAACCCCATCTACAATGGATAAAACCATAGCAGTCGAAGGGGATGTGTTGAATTTCAATAGTAAATATTCATAACCTCAGAGGAAGATTTCTTTGTAGTAAGCGGGGATAAAACTTGCTAGATGTGGGCTTACGTTTAGGTAATCAGCTGGTTGCTGTGATTGTATGTTTAAATTTATAGTCCAATAAAAAAAAAAAGTGGGTCTGTTCCGGAGAAGACAAACACGACTTCGCCGAAAAAAAAAGGCACAGGCAGTAGCAGTACGTAGTTCCACCTGTTCCCACAGAAAGAGTAATCTTGAAAATGGGGGCACCGCCTACGTTTTCGTTGACCCGTGCGGGATGCACCATTGCGTTGCCTACCACGTAATTTGCAGCGGCCAGGCCTGCGGCGACAGTCTGCCGCTGTATGCAACAACAGCATCGTTCACGTGTGTCAAGATGGACAGATTTCCCGATCACAAGGTCTTGTTACCTCTCGGTTCAATTGTGGGGGGCGAGAGAGAGAGAGCGCGTTGGGACGCCAGTCTATCCTGGCCCCATTAACCGACAAGCTTGGCCTATGAACCTCTACGCCATTGGCATTGACTGCGCTACCCAGACCGCGGACATTTCCCTTCCATGGTGAAGGTCTCGCCAAGCAGCCAAGACCAGTCTACAAAAGACGCCGCCGGCTCCAAATAGAGCCAACGTGGCAGCAACAGCAAGCTCTGTTATTCCACATCCCTCTGGTGACACACCTTGCAGTAGAGAAACGTAGAGAGATCCCCAGTGCAATTTCCACCCCAAGTGCCCTCTAATCACTGGTCCCTTTGTATGGTCTCGCTACCGTGAGGTATGCCCCTTGTCTCGTTGTATCGCGCAGGGGAAGAAGGAACGGGGGCAGGAGAATTGTGCGTGCACCGGACTTTTGTGGCAAAAAAAAATAAAGCGAACCAGGTAAAAATAAAAACGTAATTGCGCCGCATCTCATGGCACAGGCTCGTCCCGCTCGCTCGCTCGCTCCACCCTGACAGCTCGAATATCTACCACACCAGCTGGGCAACAAGCCCGAGGGACACATGGACGAGGGAAGGAAAGTGATCTCGGATGACTTTGCGCGGCAGCTCAGCCCGGAGACGGCGCTCCCCGTGGCGGCGATCAAGACCCTGATCGGTGTCATCAGGAGGAGCACCAACACCACAATCCGCGGGATGGAGGCCGAGCTCAAGGACGCGATCCAGCTCATGGAGGACAAGATGGAGACCCCGGACAACAGCAGGTCAGAGAGAGGGGGGGGAGACAGAGACACACATAGGCACGGGCAGGGAGCGTGTGCAAGAAGCCAAGACAGCTAGGTGCTTGCGGTGGCTCTGGGGTTGCTGCTGACGCTCTGTCTGTCGCCTGCTGGCGCCTCACTGCTGTGGTTGCGCGGCCGCACCGTTTTTTGTCTGACAATAATTCTCCATTCCTTGTGGCTGCAATTCCCAGAAGCTGCCTACCCCCTGCGGGATTAGGCTTGCTGCAAAGATCACTTCATTGAACGCATTCTCTGGTGATGGCGGTTGGCTTTTGTTGGCGTTGCTCTGTCCTGGTTTGTGGAACGCCGCGTCAAGTCCAATTGAGTCCCCAGACGGTTTGAATTTCGCGGTTTGCTCCTCTCTGGCGAAGCGGGACGGGATGTCAGCGCTCGGGAGGGGTCATGCTGTGATATCTTGCCTCGCCACTGCTTTGATTTTCTGGTGCTAGCGGTGGCTGAGGGTTGTGTTTCTGCCTTCACCAAGGGCTCATTGCCATTCGAGCAATGGGGAATGTTGGTCGAATGCACACCTGGTAGCCTTTGAGAGTACGGCAGCATACCGCAATGCAGTACACAAGATACCACACCCCTCCACACAATACCCACAACATGTGTACAGCAAACGTACACAAAGTGATTGCTTACTCGATCAACATGATCCCACAAACAGGAAATTTCTCGCAGGTCACGCAGCGACATAATATACTACACGCCTCGATACAACATCACAACCGATGGTTACACGTTTGGGGGGCAAAATGTTAATGCCGTTACCACCGGGATGTAGTTGCATGTGGTCCCCGGGTAGACTGCATCAGTACGACGCAAGCCGTAACTCGATGTGGTCAGGCCCAGACACACCATCAGGAAAGGCGGGGGGGTAACATGTGCAGTCGGACCAAACATTCTACACTTACCGTCCATCCGCAGCTTAGTGTTACCGTTGGTAAGTAGCGGGGCTTACAAGAGAACGTCACCCAACACACTCGCCGCCGTCCTCCAACACCCACGGGCACGCCACATCGGGTCTATTAACAGCTCTTTCCATCCCATTCATACAAACGCAAACGAACGGCATGGGGTCAACCGAAATTGTTTGGGCGCTCAGAACGGAGAGGAGTATCTACAGAGTCTACGCTGTAGGTGCGTCTCTCGCTCCTTCCCTAGCGCCCACGCAAGTTGCTGTACCCCCATATCTACTTACCCCTTAGATCCCCTTTTCCGATCCAATTCAACCGCACGCGACCACCTCCTCTACCGTTGTTGCCCCAGGAGCACGATATCGCTGACCAGCGGGTGCCAGCTTTTCCTCCGACACGTATCTCGCTTCGTCGCCGAGTCGGTCGGGGAGGAGGGCTTCGACGAGTCCTGCAAGCAGCAGTTGTTGCACAGGTGAAGCGAGAGAGAGAGAACGGAGGGCTTTGTAGACGAGATATATGTATATATTTCCAACGCCGCGTGCAGATTTTTTTTTATTTTCGTGTCTATGGTATGATGTATCTGGGTGCCAGTCGCAAGGGAAGGCAACAACGTGCGGTGTGCGCCAAGCATCAATTTTCTTGGGGTGGGGAGCAAGAGGCAATGTCGTCGTCTGCTCCAAGACACGTTCCGCGGTCACGTGGACTCCTACGCGGAAACCCGTTGGTTAGTAACAACAACGATAGCACACGCGGACCCAATCCCTTCACTTTTTTCAATCCCACGGAAACTGTTTTCCGGGTTTCCGGGCTTCACTTTCCCGGACCCCTAGCCAAATCCAATACCACCGCAACTAACCACGACAACAATCCTGCCCGCCGCTGTTTTTTTCCGTCCGAACCAGGGGGGAGCGATTCGCGGAAGTTTCCGAGACCAGTCGAGAACAGATCGCGCGCCTGGGGCACAACTTCGTTCGGGACGGGACGGTGGTGTTGACGCACGGCTACTCGCGGTGTGCTCTCCATCTTTTGCTCATGGCCGCGGAAACAAAGGTGTGACTGGCAGAACATATAAAACACACAGCACGTTCTGTTGTCAGACAGCAGAGAGCGAATGGACCCAGATATGACAATATTATCTTCTTGTGGGCTGTGGGGAGGTAATGCATCGACTTGGGTTACGCGTGGGTTGTGGAGCCCTCTTGGCTGCCTCCTGCCGGGGGAATCGGATGAGGAATACCTACATAGGCCAGTACACTCTGCTCGGCATGGCTTCTGGCGGAAATCCCTGTCTCCATGAGATAGACGTATGAGACACCATTGGCAAGTGAGAGCGATCAACCCCGGGTGCCAGGCCATGACATCGCACCAGGGGTTCCACGAAATGTTCGTGCGTCCCATCTAGTTAGCTAGTTCTCTGTGCTACTTCACATGCACCCATCTCTACCGCCACCGTCGCCGCGGCTTCCGCGAAACACACACACACCCTCCTATGTGACCCCGGTTGGGTTGTCTAGCTAGTAAAAGTGGAGGATAGGGGCCAGAGGGCAGACGACAGAGTCCAATGATCGGAGAAAACAAAAAAGCACCCACGCACACGCAAGTGCGCATTTCGCTTGAACGCACTACAGCAGTGGGGGCGGCTGTTTAGTGGGGGTATATTCCCAGAGCATTGGGCAGCACTACATCGGACAAGGGCACTATTCGAGGTACTGAATGACTTCGAGAGTCATTCAGTGTGTGCCACGCGAACAAACCGGCACTTTTCCGCGAACCGGCACTAAACAGCCTCCCCCGGTGTTTTTCATCGGGGTTGGGATTTCGTCGCTTGGCAACGACGTTTTAAGCCAAGCCTCATTTCGTGAGCTCGGCAACCAGGTTATCGCTTGTTTTTTCTACTCTATTTTTTTTTTCGCGGTAATCATTGTGGTGGCCGAGTGGATCATGTTGTGCGGGGTCGAGAACCCTCCCTCCGCACAAAGGGGATATCGCACCACGTTGTGTTAATATGGTAAACCACCCTCGAAGCTGTCACATGTATGCTTATAACTGTCTCTGGAAGTGAAAGCACCAGAAAATAAATCAAGTCATACGCAGCTGTCATCCGTACGCAAGGAAGTAAGCACAAGATGCAGGATGCAGCGCACCCTTCATGCGACTCGCCGAATATCTCACGGCGCTTCGCGCTTGGTGATGTGAGAGCCTGGTCCGGTGAGAACCCGGCGTGCTCCACCCCGGCTTGGTAGGGATGCGAGGTCAATGGTCTAACGACCACGGCATGCACGACTATGAGTACACCTCCCCCCCCCCCACTGCACTGTAAACGGTTTTACTTTGTCGCCGCGCAGCACTTTAGCGTGCTCGTTGCGGAGGGGAGACCGGACGGGGCGGGGTTCAAGGCCGCCGCCGCGCTCTCGAAAGTTGGGGTCCCCGTCACGGTGGTATTGGACTCCGCTGTGGGGTACCACATGGAGGTGGCCGACTTGTGCGTGACGGGCGCGGAGGGAGTGCTGGAGAACGGGGGAATCGTCAACAAGGTGGGGCGCTGCTTTGTGTGGTGGTTGTTTTTGAGGTGTTTTTCGGGGCATGCGTATGTGCAAGTCGTCCTCTCCTGTGTGCGGTGGACCATCGTACCCACACCAGCCATATCGGGTGGTTTGTCAAACCTCTTGGTGTTGTTATCGAGCACCGCGTTTCGCTGTCGCAAAAAGGGTTCAGGTTTCATAAAAGCTTGTCACGTTGTTCGTGTGGAGGGAACGGAGGCGGAGGTTGCTCGTAAAAGAGGGAGGGGGGGACCATGTGTGTCAAGGTCGATCGGAACGGGCCCAACAGCCACATTCCCGTGCGTCTCGTGGTGGTGTTGGAGATGTAGCAGGCACGAGCAAGCGCTAGCCGCCTGGATCAGCGGCGTTCATCGTCTCCCGAGTATTTTTTAGCGGGAGACACAAGAGTAGGAAGGTTCCTCCCCGACGGCGAGGGTAGGGACAGAAGAGCGTTCGGCGGAAAACGACATGAGCGCCGTCTGCGTGGCTTGCTAATCGTCAATAACACGTTCGCGATGCATGAACCAAGGATGGCGTTTCCCTGTCCTGAAAATAAATGCCACACCACGCGACCATAACCACAGGTTGGGACGTTTCAGATGGCGGTACTGGCGAAGGCGTACAACGTCCCCTTCTACGTCGCGGCGGAGAGCTACAAGTTCGCCCGCTTGTTCCCCCTCGACCAACGGGATCTTCCCAAGGGCAAGACCCCGAGGGCGCCGTTCGCCGCGCCAGAGGGCACCCCAGAAAGCGTCGCCACGTTCAGGTATGAAAAATTTTGACACATAGAGGGGGGGGGGATAAGCTCGTTTTCATGCGCGACCGTAGTCGTATGGCAACAGGGTATCACGTTTGAGCCCGTCGAGTTTCTTCCAACAGTTCGGTCGGAACCTGCCGTGGTTGAGTATGCCCAGTGACTCTTCGGACTGAATCGCCGTCGACCATGGATGCGCGTAGTAGTGTCGCCGCCGGGCTCCCCACGGTCCTTCGGGCGATTGATTTACCGAACGTGCTTGACTTCCCGTTCTTGAATTCCTGCGCTCTTGTCGGAATCGGTCGTTTGGCTTCCTTTTCGCCTTAGACCCTCTCTCCCCTCCGCCCGCCGCTTGCTCTGCGCCGCCCCCTCCTACCTTCTCCCC